TACAATTTACTCTCAGATAGTATTCATATTTGCAGTGATTCCGCGAAATCACCTGCGATGAACCAGCGGACATTCGTCATCCATCGTGCAAAATCCACAAAATTTATACAAGTCGCACTGGACTGCAGCAACCTGCTCGTCCTCATCATCGCTCTAAAATAGAAATGAGAGAAAAAATAAACAAAAACAACACTTTTATCAAGAAAAAAGTTCATAAACGAGAAGTGAGCAATGCCGAACAGATATTTTGCAGCCTCACAAACAGGCGAATCAATGACTAACGCATTAGAAAAAAATTAACAGTCGTGATGCTTCTATGTTCACCTGGTCAGAAGACTCGTAAACGCTTTCTGCATCACTGTCAGAATTACACTCACTATCGACCGGCGATGGAGGTGGGGTAGGAGGGACACGCCACGGGTCAAAAGACGCATGCTTTTTTTTCCCTTTACCGGACAACTTGCGCCCCCGTTTCTGTAAACCAAATATCGGTCACGTGTAAAACTATCGAATTCAGTGTGGTATTTTCAAGCCTTGACCAACCGAAAAAACTAGATAATACTGTAAAAAACTATCACAATGCCCTTGCTAATTAGAACTACAGAACAAGCAGTTCGGCTTTTCCGTGCTAATGTAATTAACTTATCCACATCTAACAAAGAAAAACAGGCAGCAAATATAAACAGCAACTTCAGTAGGAGTCAAGCCACTACAATGGTACCTTATGTTGTTTGCCTTTGCCTTTCTTTTTGGTACGACCAACTGTAAGCTGAGCTGAAGCCTCCATTAGCTGTCCAGCAACATAAGCAGTCAAATTAATTGCGTCCTGTAATTTAAAAATTCGCAGTAGATGTATAAGCCTTACTCTCTCAACTTTTAAAAAACATTGCAGCTGACAAAGAAATAGCTGTTGATTTATTGTAGTTCGAAAAACTTTATTAAAAAAATTTATTTCAAAAAAATCTCCAAAAAAAAAGAATAAAAAAAAAGACGTACAGGAACTGCATCAAAATGAAAATCTTGCGACATGACAGATCCAGCATTTTCCTGGGAAACTTGCTCAGAATCTGCAGTCACTGGTGTGAAAGAATACTGCGTTGCCACCGTACTTTGTTCATCGACTTCAGATGCTCTGAAATCCGCTTATTTCACTAATCGCTAAACATGTAATGAGCTGATGACAGAGGATCTGAGAAACTAACAACTGTTTTTATTTCAAAACTTAGAGATATGAAAAGCAGAAAAATTATAAAGCTTACCGTGGTTGGGTGAAAAAAGACCACGGTGTCCAATCATAAGAAGACTGATCGTTTTCCGAGGAAACTGTCTGTGCGTGCGGGTCAGGTGGATGCTGCTGAAAAAAAAAGTTAGAAGTGATAGCCACTATTCGTACTGACCGTACAACAAACTAAAATTTGCAGTTATTTTTACTGTAATTACTGGTGAGAATCACTTTTCCACTTCTAAACATCCGAGTATGAAAAAACAATAGAACCACTAAAAAATTCCGTTGAAGTTGTGGTAGAACGGGCTTACCACTTCACTTCCGTGATTAGCTCCAATTTGCGCTGAATTAGTAGAATCGATTGTTAAATCAGGCTCAGTGCTAAACATCTGTTTAGATCCCTGACCAACTTCCATACTACAAATAAAATAATGCGAGAAGTCCCAACAACAAACAGAGAGCAATACAACTCCTTACTGTTCAAAACCACAGCCAAAGACTTACTGATTTAACCAAGAAGAAGTCATCACAACCATTGAAATCACCTTTAAATAGATGTCGACCAGCAAAGCGAGTACAAGGAAATCTGATAGGACAAAAAGTCACAACAGCAGTTGGTGTTACTTGACAGTGTGGTCAAAAATTTCACGGTTTAGAAGTTTGGGAGGTAGCTTTCATACTGCTAACTAATTTAGCCATTTATAATAATCTCTTAAAAGTCGTTATATGCAAGAACAAATTTTCCTGCGTCAGTATAATCCTAAGGGTTAAAAGACCTCCATGCAATCGTCAAATTATCAAAGGTATGTTTATCACTGATATATGTATCACTTTCAAATGACCCTTTCAGTCCTTTAACATTCAAAAGCGCTACAGAATTTTTTTTTTAAATTATCTAATGGTTAATAAATTTGCAAAGCACATGAGAAAACTCATAAGGTTATTTCCAAACTCCAAAGTACACGAGGCATCCTTTTGAACTTTGAAAATGAGCATGTATTTTACTGGTCAGATAATTGACAGAGGCTTTGTTCGGTCATTTTTAAACACTTCAAACTGTTGCCTGGGATCAATTTCACAATCAATTTTTGAGTAACTCAGCAGCAGTAAAGATACCAGTTCCCTGTTATTTCATGTAAAAGTTCTTAACGCCTACAGAATTAATTGCCGTTACCACTGGTCAGCATCGTTAACACCCTAATTTTGCTGTTAGAATTGTATGTTAACTTTTCCAAACAACGATACAACGGGCTCAGTAAAATTTTGAGGGCAAAAATCAGAGCTACTGTTTAACGCCCTCCAGGGTCAAGTACTTGAACTTTAGTTGTTCCTTACCC